TTAAAATTTTATTAATCATGTTATCATGGAAAAACCACCTGAGTCAATCTTAGTTCTTGATTTGGATGATCCCAAGGAAAGAAAAAAGTTAGGGATGGATACACCTAAAAAAGTAAAAGATACCAGTGCCCGAAAGAAGATGAAGTTATTAGAAGAAAGGCTTAGGGCTGTAGAGGGAATGAATTTTTATGGCTCCACAGATGCGACTGACCTTTGTTTAGTTTCAAATATGGTCATTCCTCCTAAATTCAAAGTCTCTAAATTTGAAAAATATGATGGCACAAAATGCCCGATGACCCATATCACCATGTATTATCGAAATATGGTAGTACATACTCGTGATGAGAAGTTGTTAATGCATATATTTTAAGATAGTCTTACGGGTTCTATAGCTAGATGGTATGTTCAATTAGATAGGACTCGTATTCATTCTTGGCAAGAGCTTACAAAGGCATTTTTTACATAATATCGGTATGTCACGGATCTGGTTTCAGACCCGTCTATCTCTACAAAGTATGAAAAAAAAAGCAACTGCAAACTTTAAGGAGTATACACAAAGGTAGAGAGATATGGCTGCACAAGTTCAACCTCCTCTTACTGAAAAAGAAATAACTATTTTATTTGTAAACACCTTAAAAGCACTGTACTATGAGAGATTGATAGGCAATGCAACCAAAAACTTTACAGATATGGTGATATCAGGTGAGATCATTAAAAATGCTATAAAGAATGGTAAGCTCGATGCAGAAAAGACAAGTAGAGCAAGAAAAGGTAGAGCTCCTAAAAGAAAAGAAAATGAAGCTAAAGTAGTGAACTATATGGGGTAACAATTCAAAAGTTTCACACCTAATCCTACACCAGTCTACCATACCCATTACCCTTCTATAAACCATGTTACATACATCCCTCATTCATATCAACCATACCAGTCATTACCACAACTAGCTTATCCACCCCGTTTTCAACCATTCTTTCAGACACGCACCTATAATCGTCCTGCTACACCTATCATACCAAAATAGTTTGAGAGCCCCGAGCAATACCAAAAAAATATCACTTCAGATCCCATTCCTATGACATATACAGATTTGTATCCTCAACTTGTTGAGAAACATCTGTTTGTTCTTGTTATCGTTGAACCCTTAAAACCTCCATTTCTCAAATGGTATAACCCCAATGCACATTGTGATTATCACTATAGGAATCCAGGTCATTCCACTGAGAACTGTAGTGCTTTGAAATGTAAAGTGCAAGGGTTAATCAATGAAAGAGTATTAAATTTTGATACCAACTAACAAGGGACTCCAAATGTTAATGGGAACTCTCTACCAAATCATATCAGACCATCAATAAATGTCTTAATTGATGGGTAAAGAAGCCACGTGAAGGAAAAAATAAATGAAGTTAAGACTCTGATGGCTAAGGTGTTCAAAGTATTGGTTTAAGCTAACATGTTGAAGCTAATAGAACCTCAAAATTACTCTAAAGTAATTAACTCAACTGAAAGATGCAATTATCACAAAGGTGTTCTGGGGCATTCTATCAAGAATTGTCACCAATTTCATCAAGAGGTGTAAATATTGATGGATGAGGGACGAATAGAGTTTTAGCAAGAGAAAGAAGAGTTGGTAAAAGTGTTTACCATTGATTCAAAGAATAAGATTGTGCATAGATCGGTAACCATCTATTTTGATGAGAAGCCAACATCGAAGCTAGAAAAGCTCGTCTCTTGACCAATGGTGACAATTAAAATTTCTGGCCTTTTTTCATATCAGAATGATAAAGCAGTATCTTGAAAGTACGATTATGATGTCATAGTTAACCCAGATATTACCAACATAACGGGTGTAAAAGGCATAACTCGAAGTGAGAGGTGTTATACCCCAGAGGTTTTAAAAAAAGCTAGAAAAGAGAAAGCCAAGATAAAAAAAAAATTGAAAGTCAGAGTGATCTTCACGCAGCCCCAAAAAAAGAATATCAGAAGTCAGTATCTGAGAGTAAAGTATGTGAATTTCTAAAGTTAATAAAACATAGCAAGTATAGCGTGGTAGAACAGCTTAACAAGATGCCAGCTAAAATTTCTTTATTGTCATTATTGTTCAGTTTAGAGTCACATCATAATGCTTTACTGAATGTGCTAAATCAAGCATATGTGTCTCATAATGCTTCTATTGAATATGCAGAACATCTTGTTGGCAATCTAACGATTTCAAATTATATCTCTTTCAGTGATGAAGAGATTTCTCCTGAAGGTAGAGGAAGCACCAAGGCTCTTCACATTACTGTGAAATGTAAAGGTCATATAATGGCTAAGATTTTGATTGACAATGGCTCATCCATCAATGTTATACCTATGACTACTCTGGCAAAACTCTCTGTTGATGGATTTTATATGAAACCTAGTCATATGATAGTGAGAGCCTTTGATAGAACCAGAAGAGAAGTGCTAGGAGATATAGAAGTGCCATTGCGATTGGCCATGCACTTTCAATGTGAAATTCCAAGTTATGGATATTTTTCTTTCATATAGTTGCTTATTGGGTATACCATAGATCCATCTGATAGGTGCTATTGGTTGTCAAACAGCTTACCAAGATAAGATAGTGACCTGGAGCTAGACTTGAGAAAAACTTGCAAGGAATCATGAAACCATCGGCCATACATGACAAGAAAGACAAATTTGGCTTAGGGTATAAGCCAACAAGAGGAAACAAAGTGAGAATGATGAATGAAAAAAAAATAAAATGATGAATGAAAAAAAAAACAAAGTAGAGATGCTTTAAGAAATCTCTAGGTGAGAAAATTTTTTGTAAAATATTACCAGCGTATTGAAATATATATAGAAAATCTTCAATATAATTATTTTTTTTCTTCAAAATTTTAATTTTAAATAAGAATATTAATAAAATAATTAAAAAATTTTCTAACAAAGAAAAATAAAATGTGTGTATAAACATGGTAACATTTTGCATTGCATGTATGATATTTTTTTATGAAAAACAAATTTGAGCCTCCGATGATGAGATTCTAAGGTATTCCGAGAAGTGATGTCTAAGAAGTCTCTAGGTGAGAAAAAGTTCTTCTAATGTTACCAACGTACTGAAACATTTTAAGAATTATTTCAATAAAAAGGTTTTAATTTGTTTTTAGAATAAACTTTTTTCTAATAAATAAAAAATCAAAAATTAATTTTCGAACACCGAAAATTAGATATTTTTATCAAAATCAAAGGATAACACGTTGTTAATTGGTACCATTTTTAACGAGCGCTATGAAGGTGCTAATCCTTCCTCACGCGTAACCGACTTCTGAACCTAAATTATTTCGTTGACCGTATAATTATCTTTTTAATAAATTTTAATTAATTTTAAAACTTTATTAAAATGATATGTTTTAGTAGGTGGTCAATCGCACCTAGCCAAAAAAGATTAGTGGTGACTCCATTATTTTTTATTTCGTTTCCAAATTCGTCGGACGGACACAAAACCATTATGACACTATCCAAATATAAAAATAAATAGAGTCAAGGATCGAGTCAACGGATTAATTGATTTGACCTTCATCTCAATCCAAGTTTAATAACCATAGAAATGAGGCATCCTTCTAATACTTTTACCTTCTGTTTAGATACAATGAAATTATTTTAAAGGAGAAAAAAAATGTATATATACTTCACATTTGGATAGTTAAAATTAATAAAGAAATAAAATAAATTATAACCATCATTGTTTGAATAATATACTTAAAAAATAAATTTATTATAATATATTTTTTTAATTATAACTTTTTTTTATAAAGTAACATATAATATATAAATATATCTTTATATTATCTAGCTTGTATAAACAAATCTTTCCAAACAAAATTAAGTATGTTTAATATGGTAAAATGTATTAATTAATTATTGATTTACTCTTAATTTTATGTTTAATTCAGCTTTTTAATTTATTCTGACAATAATTTACTTATTTTGTTGTTAAAACTTAAAAAATTATAAAATATTTATAAACTGTGATTTTATATTAAATACTCATAAAAAGAAATTATCTTTATAAAATGTGTTAGTTATATAATTAAATCTAATGTCATAACAAAATATGGATCTAATAGTCTTTTCATAAAAATAATTTTTTTTAACTTTTTTTCCTTAGGTTTTTTCTTTAATTGAGGTATTAAAAAAGTGAAAAAATAAAAAATGATTGGATTTTCACCACTTTTTTTTCTTTAAATTAAAAATTTATTCCAACAAAAGAAAGATATTTCTATTTCTATTATTTTCTTTTATTTTTATTTCTTTTCCTTCCCTTCCCCTCAATCCAAATATAGTGTTAAACTTTCTATATTAAATAATTTCCTTCATAATGCAGCTGATCATAAACATCTCATTGTATTTATATTTATCTTAACCAAACCACATTTGATTACACACTCTTAAAAATGACCAAAGTACATTAAGCAATTGCAATTTAACACTCGTTTGGCCAATGATAACATCTCGATATGCTCAAGAAAGTCCCATAATGGAATCAGTTTTAGACTCCCATATAGTCATTTTTTCTTGGATTGATTGCAACATGCTCAAGGCTAACAACTTCAAACTAATAAGATAATACTCTCTGTTTTATTTTTTTTTTGTCCATCTTTTTTTTTTTTTTTGAAATGTCTCAAAATTATATTCTATTTTTTTAATATTTAAAATTTTTACTTTTTTATATTTTTAAACTATTTTTTATTATTTTTTTAATTTTTTGATATTAAAAATTATAAAACTTTAATTTTATTTAAAAAATTTAAATTTTAATATTAAATGCATTAAAGTCAAATCTTTTTTTAAATTCCGAGAAAATTATGAAATGAAGGGAGTATATTCTTTCTTTAGGAAGAACGAACAGAATAGATTAATTAACAACTTCAAGACAAAAAGGAAAATCAGCACACAACTTGGAAGGGAAAAAAGAATATGTCCGAAACTCATTTAAAAAAAAAAAAACCTGTTTAAGCTAATTTTCATCTGGTGGCACCGGCAAACCATGAGCCTGTTCAAGTCATATCCCCGTTGTGCTGTGCTTAGTCCATACTTGCATGCGCCAATGGTCCATAATGATCAGGTGCTATATATGCGCTTGACTGACAACTTAAGAAATGGAGATACCTTGCTAATTTTCCTTGTGAAAGATTTAAATATGGAACGCCAGTTGGACGAGGCTTCTAAATTTATAGTCATATCCCGCAGGACTCTCCCATGCTCAAGCAAAAACCTTGTGATAGCAAGGACACCTTTTTCGTATCTTTGACAACCCCATGCAGTGATTTTCACTACCTCTAAGTGATCCAGAAGCCCAAAACAATGAATGTGTGAATCCCATCCTTCATCATTATACATAGGGTTGCTCCGTTGTTTCCGCGCCTGAGATTCAATTGATAAAGAGTCAAAAGAAATTAAGAAGCCAAAGCAATATTTTATAATATCAAATTAACTTTTGTTAACTAATATGCTTTAGACATTAAAGGATCAAATAAAATGTGAAAAAAGGGTGTAGAGATTTTATGTGCTGCTATGCAGATAAGTTACAAATAAAAACCTCAATTATAAGGGTCTTCAGCATTGGAGAGTTTATGAGTAAGCATGCTATTACTGCAATGCTATCCCTGCTGATCAGAACATATTGGAGCTCCAGTATCCTGAGATTTATAAACGAAAATCGAAGGTCCCCAGCGGAACCTATTGTTGAAAAAATCTGCAAATGGACAATGATTGAAAACAAATAAAAAAATTTATATTCATAGTAATTACTTGCCTCACAAGTCACACATAAGCACAAATTACACAAGAATAAATTAATCACCTGCTTTATTGTAATTTGTTCATATAATCAACTGGAAAATGTAAACCGAAAGCAATATTATGCCTGAAAATGCACGTCCTAAATCAAGTCTATGATGAGCAACAGAATAAAGAAGGAAAAACAAAAAGATTAACCTCAAGAGAATCAAATGAAATCTCCAAGTGATGACTTCGAGAGATAGCAGATACGAGGTTAATAGCGCTATTTTTCTTTCTGGCAGAAAATGGAAAATAAGAAATGTAGGATCTGCGCAAATTTGGGAAGCTCATTATGGCACAATTCTCCGTAATCTCATTCCCTTTCCAATAGAAAGTTTGAAGTGATGATGCGGAGATCCTGGTCCAACTATTATTGTCAGTATTCTGGAGAGAATGTTTCACAGATAAGACTTTTAGTCTTGTCCCAAATACATTCAAGCCATTTATCATCACATGATGCAGTTCCAGTTCTTCCAGTTCAGGGCAGCTAACGTTTAAACTTATCAATATTCCAGTACAATTATCCAGACTTAACTTCCTGAGGACAGGGAATGAAGTGGCCGAGAATAAATCGGCAACAAACGAGCCGTTCAGAAAGTGAAGGCCAGTTAGAGATAAGGAATGGAGAGAACCAAGGGACTCTGCAACAGCATCATATGAAGTTGGAAACTCGAGTATCATGTCCGAATAGTTATACGAGTTCCACCGATATTTAGCTCTCAGTCTAAGATTCCTCAAGGAATCACACGTAAATGATGGGAACGGCAAAATTGACCGATCTGTCAAACAGATATCGAGTTCAAGTTTTTTAACTCCTTGCTTCTTGACACGATCAATGCAGTCAAGAAAACGCCGGAAACCTAAACTACCCGTCATCCGAAAAAGCTTTATACAAAAAACATTTCGGCGAAGATCCAGTATCTGGGTTATGACTTGAGGATTGACATCGGAGAAGTCGAGGTAAGGAGACGAATACCAAAGAGATCTCCACCTTTTGGAAACTAAACTGATTCGAGCTACGGATTTGGTGCTTAGAGAGGATAGGATGCGGTGCAAAACTTCGTCAGGGAGATCGCTGATCCTATCCTCCTTTTGACGTCTTCGATGAAGCTTTCTTATTCGTCCGGCGCTCTTTCTCATGGCTGAGTGATGTTTTTGTTTTGTTATTTGTCTAGTAATGCTCGAATCAGCGGAGGTGTCGTGCCCTAGGTGGAAACCAGTCCCAGAGGGAGATATAGATTAGTTGATCTTAGGTTACGCAGTTCGGGGAATATAAATAGTAGGATTGCAACTTTTAAGGTTTCAACCCAAAACCAATCCAAGCCCATTTTAGCCCGTTTCTTATTCACAAGAAAAACTTAGCCCAAGTCCAATGTAACCCGTTTTCCATAGGTAAGGTAGGCCACTTTTTATTGCCGAAGGGGACATTATGATTCCAACTCAAGATGTTTACCCTTAAATGATGAACTTATTAACGTTAGAGTTATGGCAGAAGGTTAAATTTTTAGTTTTAATAATTAAAATTTAAATTTGGTTAATTTTAAATATAAAAAAATTTATTAATCATGAAATATATCTTAAGAATTTAGGGAATGGACCTGAATTATTTTGGTCTGGGGCTCTTGTCTGCCCACCTTTATCATTTTCATAATTTCATTTGCCAACTCCTTTTGAAATTCACACTGCTTTACATAATTATTAATTATTTGTACCTAATTGTTCTCAACTAGAAAATTAGCCCATACGTAATAAGAAATAATAACTTCAACTTGTTTGTTTGAATGTCCGTATCTCCTGGCCAAAAAAAATAAATAAATAAACCTTTTTGCATCTAAAGAATCGTGTAAGACTAGAACTTCTCGAAGAAAAATTAAAGAGTAGTAAAGCACTCAGTCGGATAACAAAAATTACCCAAATGTCAAAGAGAAATATAGAAGCTACCAATGGAATATATATCTGGAGCCTTCAAAAAAAAAAAAAAAGAGAGAAATCAGCTCTGCTCCTTGGCACGGACTAACAAGCCTCGATCCTCTTGGCTATTCCACTGCACTCATCTGGAGGTGTTAGGTAGATCAGCCAATTGGAAGGCTTGAGAAATCCGTGGACCATAAACTTCATGGATACAAAGATATTTGGTGCAACTATCTTAGCTCCAGGAATGATCAATTTTTGTGTAATGTTGTTGACGCCCCCAGATATCTCAAGATCATGATCTGGAATTGAATTACTTAGTGATGCATTTGCAGGCAAAGAAGCAAAGTCCATGTAGGTGAACTTTCCATCTAGTACATGAAACCTCGCTATTTTATCAAGCCAACTGAAACAGTTGCCACAAATGAAAACTCTCGTGGAGGAAAGACTGTAACATAACAAAAGTTCATTTGATCTTCAAGAATCCCAAAAAGTACAGAATTCAGGTTAATTGCAAACGAAACGAAATCCTTCGAGCTTAGCAAATGGATAATGTGTCCATTCAACCTCGTTCTTGGGGTCAATAACCTCTGAAACCAAGCTAAGATTAAAATAACATATCGGTGCTTGAATATGATCCCAACCATGCATCATCAACATATGGAAGATACATCTTCAAGAAAGATATCCGGATGAGAAACCAACACATGATTGATCTCTAACACTCTTTCTTTCGCATCAACCTTTGTTATAGGCACATTCTTTCCATGAATCAACTACCTTGGTGCTTCTTCAAGAGATCATTCATGGAAAGCCGAAGTGGAAAGGCACGGTATTGAAAAATATGCTTCAAGAGCGAAGAAGTGTGAGAAACGTTTGCAATGGAAGTGTCTGGGATTGAAAAGATTGTTGAGTGTGGAGAGGTAATGAAGAGTTTATAGGTTTTGAAGAAGGGCGGCTATGATGTTAAAACATAATCTTCTTAAATCGCCAGAAGCATCCAAAACGAGTGGAACTGTAGTCGATTTGGTCGGCAGTGGTTCATCTTTGGGTAGTGAACGTAGCGCTGTGGAGATTGATACGAAGGCCAACAAAACCGAGACGGTGAAGTTGACCGGCGCACGCCACCAATTTGAAGAAAACGCCATCTTTCTGCTGTGAAAGTTGGTTGCCTAGAGGGACACAAAGAATTGCTGAAGACAAATAAATCGCACTGTCTGACATAACCACACCATAAATTTCTGTTGGGCGGGCTCGAATTTCACTCCGGACAAACCAAAAGGCCCAGATTCAAGCTTCACTGCTTGGGCCTTGAGCAATTTAGGACCTAAGTTGCCTCCAAAATTTTCATATTATCCTTCTTCTTTTTTTAAGAGAAATTCAAGAATAAATAGCTCTTTAGTCTCTCATGTAAGAGAGTTGTAGTAGGTTGTGCATTCGAAATAATTTTAATAAATAATTATTGATAAAATTTAAACTTAAAATTTTTTCTTCGAAAAAGACGAACCTTGAACTAATTACTTGTTTGTATTATCTTGTTGGTATTATCCTCAGCTTAACAACTAGCTCTTATTAAATTTCAGATACTGTCAGCCTGCATTTGGATGCTAATGTAGGTGAAGGAGCGTGTCGGATGAAAACTTGTGTCAAGAGAAATGAGATCCAAATGTTAGATGTCGTTGTGATTTATCATAGGATTTTTCTCCAATAAGCAATTGGGTTTTTTTTTTTAATTTTTAATTTTTATTTTTGCCCTCCAAGTTAAGTTGTAGAAACATTTTTTCATTATGAAATTTTAATTTTTTATTTAAAAATAAATAAATTATAAATAAATTATATTATTATATGATAAATTAATAAATAAATCATTTTAATTGTTTATTAACATAATTATTATTTAACATAAAAAAATTTATTAATTATTAATAATTTATTAATTTTATAAATATTAAATAATTTAATTTTTTTGTTATATATAATTTTTAATCTAATATATTTAATTATCATTTTTTATTCTAATTATAATTTATATCATTATCACTATTAATTTTACATCCAAATCATATTTTATTATTATTTTAATTTTAATATTATAATTATCATTCTCACCTTCATCATTATTTTCAATTATACTAAAAATAATTTCACCACTCATCTAAATAAATTCTTTAAATGTTAAATTAACTCGTACCCAACTAGTTTTGCCCACTACATTTCGATATGAGTGCATTTGTTATTTGAAAGTCAGAATTGAGCAAGTGGCGTCGGGTCAAGGTTGATAATAAAAAATCAAAGTCAAATTCAAGTAGAATATAGAGTGTCTAGCATATAGTTTTGCCTTGAGGAATTTATAGTAACAACATGTTATTGTTTATTTAATTTTATATTTATAATATATATTATATTAAATTTATTATTTAATATTAATTAGAAAGATTAACTTTATAATATACATATATTTAAAAAATATTAAAGAGTAATTTACATTAAAAACTAAAAGACTACCTGAAAATTACACTAAAATAATATAATAAAATCCTTTTTCCAGGTCAAGACAAATCTGATGCGGGTTTTGCATATTTTTGTCGGGTTTGGCTCAGGTATTAAAAGTATTGAACCGGTTACTAGAGGTGAGGCAGGCCGGTTCGGGTTACTGAATGATAGAGTTGGGTCAGGTAAGGTGGCGGGCAAAAGCACTTGGTGTATTCCGGGGATAGAGCACTGTTTCTCTAAACAATAAAAGCGAAATGTCAAAGATTTCACAATTTTCCTTTATAAAATTGTTTACTTTGAGAATGTTTACTCATCAATTGACCAGGCGACCAGTTTGCTGTTTGACAATGAACTTAACTTCGACATCTGTTGCCTACCTGTGGTGGAAGATCTGAATTTCGGTCAGCGTGGAATATCTACCACCAAAATCCAATTTTTGTTAATAGAGAGGACGAAGAACAATAAATGAAAAGTTAAGATATGATAGTGACATCTTGAAGAATTTGATTAATCAGCACATGATCCAGTAAACCTTCAAAGGAAGACTCGGTGGTCCTGCAAGGCTGCAGCCAAATGGTTTAGGCTTCGCTGTTCCGAAAATCCCGAAGCTTCCCTATTTTTTTAGCAACGCCATAGAAACAACTAGAGACAACTTATAAGCTATTATTATCGCACCTCGTCGTGGCGTGGCATGATACGGTAGGGCAAAATTGCGTGTTCTGTATCACCATGGAATACTTTTGAAAGGCACATAAGAGTTATGAGATTCCTGCCACAAAAAACTTAGATCGGACCATGGAGCATCAAATGTACTTACTATACCATGTCAAAGATTCTCCATTTCTCATGAAACGATGAATGATTTGCATTTTTTTTGTTACTTTTTTAAAGTTTGGGATCAACTAAGGATGATAATGAGATTGATTTTTTTTTATTTTGAATTTAAAATTTATAATATTTAAATTTGATTAGATTATTTTTTATATTTTATATTTAATTTTATATTATTTAAAATTAATAAAATATTATTTTTAAAATATAAAATATTAATTTTTAATGAAATATAAAAATTAAATAAATATATAAATATATATAATTAAATAAATAATTTAAAAATAATTTTTTTAATATATATTTAATTGAATTAAAATGAATTTATTTAAAATTTTATTTTTTTTATTTTTTATTATTCAATTTGATTTATTTAAAATTTAATTTTTTTAAAAATTATTAATCTTATACAATCGAATCGAATTAAAATCGTAAGATACGGATTGGACTGTCAGACCAACTCCAAAAATACAACTCTCGAAATCAAGTCCTTCCTGGATTATGCATAATTTTACAATCAGGCTACAAAACGTGATCCCAGGAAAATTAAAACTGAAAAAAAAAAAAAACAAAAAACAAAAGAAAAGAAAAGGTCACACAGTTCTTATATTAGTTCTCGCAGAGATAGAGAAGTAAGGAAAAGCAAGAATTTCACAATACAAAGATGCAATTTCAATCTGATATTCACATAATATAATAAAGAAAATAATAACAATGCCTCTTCCAGTGAAATGCTTTTGTATGAAGATCACTCCTTTACTCCTACCTAAATCTTTATAAAACAAAGGAGGAAAAAAAATGTGAACACCAAAAAGTGAAAAACAGAGAAACCCCCAGGTCCAAAAATACCCAAAACTTAGTGTTTAACACCATCCCTTTTTCTTGTAACTCGAATGTAGGCAAAA